AACCAGGGCTGAGAGAGATGGACGGCCTCGTTTCAGAACCTCATCAAAGTAAACGGCCAGTTTGCTTTCAGGAGGATGTGCACGTGGCCAGCGCAGTAGCTGCCACCTCTAAGTGTCTCCGTGGCTTTCCACTGCCCACACGTGGTGCATCGTGGGCCCCGTGGTGACCAAGTCTGCTCAGCCACACCACCTCTGCTGGCCGAGGGCGGACGAGGATGAGCGCTGTCCTGCTAGAAACCCACCCGCACAGCTCACTGAGGATGCCAGAGAACTCTGCCCAAGAGAAAGCGCTAGAGAGGCAGGGCTCGGCCTGCTCAGGTCACTGACAAGCATCCCTCCAAGAGGCTGTGCTCACCTGGCCCCTGACTCTTGAAGCCGTGTGTGTGAACAGAGCTGTCTGTTCACATGTCAGTTCACACTGCTTTTATCTTCTAACATAAGAACATCTCCAGTGTACTTGCAGAGGAAGTGATAAACGGAGTAAAATGCCAACAGAGTAACCGCCTGTCCTGTTTCCCTCCAAAACAGAGGACATGCTCTGAACCGAGCATAGGTGCTGGGCGCCTGCGGCCCTCACCCCAGTGCTCTGTCTGACGACCGCGTTCCAGACGCTGCTGACTTGGGTCACAGTCATGTTTCCTGTGACCTGTGACAAGCAGGGTCTTACTCAGGTGTGTCCTGGGAGTGGGTCTCGGGTCCCCAGGCCACGTGTATGTCCCATCAGCGTGCCCTGCCCTGGTCTCTGCCAGGGCCTGTCCAGGTTGGGGTCTCACGACTCACAGGCCTCCACTTATGAATTCAACATCCTCTGTCCGTCAGTGATGCAAAGCCACCCACGTCAGACTGCCAGCGGCCTCGGAGGCCATGGGGACACCCAGTGCTTTTGCCCGCCCCCAGGGAGGGACACCGCCAACGGATCCTTGTGTGACACATACAAGCCAGATGAAGCGTCCCTAGGATGGGGCAATGGGCTCTGAGCACAGTGGAGGGAGGGGGCTGGTGTGCTGCAGCCGCCGCGCTGGGGGAGCACCCCCGGCCGCGCCGGGTGCTCATGCTGTCCCCCGCCCCGCTCCCCCTCCCCCCGACACGGCTGGCGTGCTGACTCACCCCCCTGCCCCATCCCCCGTGCTCTGAGTCCTGCTGAAAGAAGGCTCAACAAGCGCCCAGACACCATGACATCGAGGGGACGCAGAATGCTTCCGCTTTCCTTTCACAGAACACAGGCCCGAACCCCTCCCGTCACGAACGCAAAGCTGGCTGCCCAAGACAGCGGACGCAGGCCGTTTGTCCTCGTGGGCAAAGAAGTGCCAGTGTGCATGACAAACAGAATCCGTTACTTTTAACAGGAGGAGGCATGGAGAAGCTTCAGGTGTAACAAGATTCACCAAGTGCCGTGAAGAATGAGCACAGGGCTTGGTCAGCGTCACTGCTGTCGAGCACACAACCAAGGCAGGACAGACGTATGAGTCAGACTCTCTGGAAGGTGCAGAGAAGGCGAGACCATAACGCTTGTGCTTCAAGGAAACCCCAGCCTGCGCTCGGCACCCAGTCAGGACGTGGCTATTAGAACCGGGCGCGGGCATCACTGTGACAACCCTCTGCCCCGAGGCCACGCTGGGTCATGCGTGGCCTGGTTTACTGAGGAAAGCAGGAGGAGAGGGGGGACTGGCAGGAGCAGAGTGCGGATGTCGTGGTATAGGACAGGCACAGGGACTCGGTGGGCTCAGCCTGGCCAGGGCCCAGGGCAGGGCCCGAGACGGTCTGGGAGGGGCAGGGAGTTCCATCTGGACACTCTGGGTCCCCGAGGGCCTTTGTCCTAATCAGGCACGTTCGGTTCCTTAAAAACAGACCCAGCCCGGTTGGCACAGCAGAGGGGGTGCCGGGGCTGCCCGGCGGGGGGCTGATGACCCAGGGCTGGGAGGAGGGGCGGGCTCCGGACAGCTTCCTGAGCAGCAGAACCACTGCCTCTGCCCCCATCCTAGTCACCAGGGCTTCCAGCCCAGACCCAGACCTGAACTCTCTCAAGCGCCAGTGCCTGCTGGCTTAGCCCACAGATCCTGGGTGTAAAATTCCAGTCTTCTTATTGTAGGAACCAAAAGATAGGTCTGTGGAGCCCCTGAGAGACAGAACCACGTCTCTCAGTGATGACGAGCCGACACGAACAGCTGACTGAGGGCGGGGAGGTCGTAAAGGGCACTGTGCACAGTCCTGGACACCCACCCCTCTGGGCCCGGCATCATTGGAAGAGAGACAGGGATGAGGGGGACGAGGGGACGAGATGGGGCGGGGATGCTCTAGGACCAGCTACAGCTGCTCAGATGGCAGAGGAGACTCCCGGGGCCCGGCTCCTGGCCCCCCGCCTGCCCGGTATGCTAGGAATAAGTAAACTCTTAAGGACAGAAATTCAACTAAGTCACACACCAATCTGAGCTGGTCCCAGGTATAAAGTAGAAAACACATGTGTTTCCCTTCGCTTTGAATGAATTAGGCATTTACAGGCCTGGTGGACCTCACGCGGAGTCACTGCTGGGCCTTTCGGGGTGAGGAAGCGGGTGTTGGCATCCCCTCTGCAGCAGGTGGGGGGCAGCTGAGGCCAGACACCTGCCAGGTCTCAGGAACCACCTGAACCCCAAGACTGCCTGGCCAGGACAGACGCCCCACCAGACCCACAGGCCCCGTCGAACGCAGCCAACCCCTAGGCGGGGCGCAGGGCGGGTCTGGGCTCCTGGCCCCCGGAACAGGGTTGGTCGGAGGAGGGTGGGTGGGAGCGGGGGCCCTCCAGCAGCTGCCTCACCCAGGGCTTCGTCCACAGGTTTCGTCCTGGTCATTGGGCTGGTGACGTTCTACCGCATCGGGCCCTACACCAGCCTGTCCTGGTCGTGCTACTTGAACATCGGCGCCTGCCTACTGGCCACCCTGGCTGCCGCCATGCTCATCTGGAACGTCCTGCACCGGCGGGAGGACTGCACGGCCCCCCGCGTGATCGTCATCAGCCGCTCCCTGACTGCGCGCTTTCGCCGTGGGCTGGACAACGACTATGTTGAGTCACCGTGCTGAGGGTGACCTCCCTCCACCCAGGGACCGTCTGGGAATTGGGGTGCTGCTCCCCACTTGAGCACACACACCACACGCATTGACCACGTTATCCACGGACATGGGGCTTGACCACATGGCATCTGCGCCCTCCCCTGCGGCCCGCGTCACGCTCCTGCATGGCCTTGCGCTCTGCCCCAGCCCACGTTAATTTATTCAGCATCTGCTGAGAGGGGCGTCCTGGGTCGTAACCACCCTGATAAGACAGAACACGGGGAGAGTTTGTGAACTGCACGGAGCTTCCTCCAGGGACTCAGAATTCACAGTCAGACGGTCACGGTTTTACGACAGCATTGTGTAAGTGAGGTCCATTTACTCCTGATTATCCTTCTAAGTTAAAATAAAATGCCAATCTCTCACCATGGCTTAAAGCTCGTGTTTTATCCACTACACGGCCACGTGGTGAGGAATCGGGCCAGTCCTGTAGTTCTGTAGCTGACCGTCAGAGAAGGTCCAGGGCAGCGTGGCTGAGGGCCACTCACGCCTCCACTCACAAGTCCCCGTCCCCGCGGATCCTGAGCTGCAGCTGCATGACAGCGTGTCCGCAGCTGGCAAGCAAGAGAGAAACGCCTACTGGCTTCAAACAACTCAGAGGCTGGCTTGCATTTTCCCCCTAGAAGAGTCTTCACCTCACCCAGCCGGGGCCCCGCCACCGGCGGCTTCAGACCTCCGTCCCAGCCCCAGCCTGGCGCCAACGGCCCCGGACCCGGCAGTTGGGCTGGAGCCCCGACTCCCCGCGCTGAGCACCAGCAGCTCAGAGGTTCACACCAGCCAGCACCCTCGGGCCAGCGGCTGCCCGCCCACGTCTGTGAGGCCCGTGGGGGCCGCGCCCCCTGGCGGTGGGAAGTGCTGCTGGCATCTCGCAGCCCAGGAAGCCAGGCGGGGCGGGGAGGCACCGGTGCCAAGTCCTCCGCTGCCTCCCCACGGGCCGGCCCGAGAAGACTAAGAAACGTTTAGCGTGGCTGCCGCACCCTTCCCAACGATGAGCGGTGACCAGCCTAGGGCTCAAAGGCCCTGCTGCCCCAGGAATCTCTTCAGTCAGAGTGAGGGATTGGGTCATGCTGTTGCTTTAGGTAAACCCAAAGCAGGGGAGGACAGCCTCAAAGCATGTCCAGCCTGACAGAGTACGCCAGCACAGCTCGGGTGGGGGTACGCTTGGGGGCCACGCGGGGCCGCCCTCCTCCCCAGCAGCTCAGGGTCCAGCCTCAGCAGCATTCCGCACACGACAACACACACTGCAGTGGCCCACTGGTCACGTATGGTCTCTGGTGGAGCTTCTACCAAACGGAAAGTGCCGCCAGCCACTCTACACTCCCCGACCAAGGGCCTCTTGCCCACCCAGTGGGCATGGGGAAAAGCCCCTCTGCTCTAGGCCACAATGACCAGGGTCTGACCCGGTTACAGACCCGTCTCTGCAGACAGGAGTGGGGGCGCTTAACTCCCGTCCTTCCCTTCCACCTGACTTCCATCCTTCAACAGTTTTTCTACCCTGTGTGATTAACCTGTCAGATGCTCTTGAGAAGCTCCCCCACGAACAGAAAGTCGCTTATACACAGCCCTTGAGGGATAACTTCTCTTGGAGCGATTTTAATTGCATTTTGTCTGCCGTTTTGAGGGTTTACTATCAAAACCTTTTCTGGGTGGTGCAATTATCCCCAGAGAGACAGGTGCTATAAATATTTAGTGACTGCAGAATTTTCGACTAGGAAGTGTCCAGACATGAAAATAAATCCAAACAACTGAATCTCAGCCCCCGAGGCTCTGAGCACCATGAGGCCAGCCGGATGCCATTCACGTCCCGGTTTCCACCAGAATCTCCTTGAACCCGTGAGACACCACACACGCCAAGAAGACTCAGTGACGGTGACCATACCCCCCGGCCCCGCCCTGCGCGAGCAGCCCCTCACCTCTTGATGAGCTTGATGGACCTGAAGGCCTCATCCATATCTCCGATGGCCAGGAAAAAGCTGAAGTTGAGCATGGCGTCCCGCGTGGGCTTGTCGCAGTCCTCCAGCCCCACAAAGTCCCGCAGGGGCCTCCTGCCCACTGCCTGGGGGATGCACTGGGATCCGGAGTCCAGTTGGTCCTCCAGATTAGCTTCTCCTGGCTGGATGACAAACGGCGCTGTTTATCTGTGGGTCCCCATGAAGCCAGAGCGCGCCCAGGGCCTCTCCCTGGGGGACCCCCTGCAAAGACCCCACATTCACCAACACTCTTGGCAAAAGCATCACACGTCTGCAGGCCCTCAAAGGGACCAGAGCACGGGGCTCCAGCTTCAGACCGCAGGTGATGCAGGCGTCGGCACACAGGGACCTGCGGCTGAGGCAGTGACATCAGCGGCTCCACAGCCATGAACACATGAAACCCCCACCCCTCAGCCGTCTGTAAACTTCCTAGAAAGGGCTCCTCCTGCCATGTCTGACCGTGTGCCTGTGCACGAGGTGTTAAAACCACGCCAGCACCACTGTAGGTGGAAGACTTGTGGTCCATTTCCACCTCTGATTACAAGCAGGACACTTGCTCACACATTAAACGCAGAGCTCAGGTTGAGGCCTGATTTTAAGTCACTTTACACTAAAAGCCAAAAAAAGAAAAAAAATCCAAGAAAAAGCCGCACACTTCAGTTCTGCTGACAGGACAGTGAAGAAACAAGTGAAGCAGGAGGAAGCACAGAGCTGGGGGGGCAGGTCAGGTGGCACCCCAGGCCCACAGGACCAAGGCCCAAGGCAGAGCAACAGGCTGCAGCCTGCACAGGCCCCTCGGTGCAGGGGCTGTGGGCGCCCGGCTGAGAACAGGTGGCTCAGCCAGCGTTCCAGCTGGGCTGGAAGCTCTGCCGCTCATCACAGACACACCCACCCCTGATCAGCACTGACCTCAGGGCCAAGGATGCTGATTTCAGGTACGGGCGGGACCATGGGGATGCAGAGACCACGTCCCAGGGATGGCAAATAACTCATCCAAAATGGTTGGGGCGAGTGCCGACAATGACCCCGTTTGATCAGAAATTTAAACACACACGAGTATGTAACAGGGCATCCCTGGTGGCTCAACTGGTAAAGAGTCTGCCTGCAACGCTGGAGAACTGGGCTTGATCCCTGGGTCTATCCCCTGCAGGAAGGGATGGTGTATGTGACGCACACATGCAGGCTACAGACAGAACCTCTCCCTAGCTGTCCCCAGCGGCACCTCTGGGGGTTGCAACCATGGAGATTTGCATCATCTCTGGTCTTTATTTCCTTATTTGCAGTTTCTGAATTTCCTACAGTGAATACAGGAATGGTAGTTCAGTTGGTAAGTCATGTCCAATGTTTATGATCCCATGGACTGCAGCCTGTGAGGCTCCTCTGTGCATGGAATTCTCCAGGCAAGAATACTGGAGTGGGTTGCCATTCCCTTCTCCAGGGGATCTTCCCCACCCAGGATTGAACCCTGGTCTCCCGCATTGTGGGCAGATTGTTTACAGACTGAGCTACGAAGGAAGCGAGCTTCCCTGTGGCTCAGCTGGTAAACAATCCGCCTGCAATGCAGGAGACCTGGGTTCAATCCTGGGTGGGGAAGATCTCCTGGAGAAGGGAACAGCTACCCAGTATTCTGGACTGGAGAAAAGAGTCAAACATGACTGAGCGAATATAGGAATAGGAACTTCTAAAAAAGCAGCTAGACTTTTTAAAAAGAAGACAGGAAGATGGAAGGGCCTAGTGCTTTGGGGGGAGCCAGGAGGGATACCCGTCAGTGGAGCTGCTGCCCACCTGCCCGCCCTTGACCTTCCCCACAGGGATGGCGACCTTGGATCTGGTGGGATCTCAGGGGACAGCTCGGGGCACACGGTTTGCTCGTGTAATGAGAGCCCCCGGGGAGGAGAAGGGCTCAAGGACACAGCCGCGCCCGCAGGGCCCACCTTTCTCGTGAAGTAGTAGTGGGGAACCTGGATCCCCAGGAGCATCTGGAAGGCGGGGGGCCGGGGGAAGCTGTCCTGCAACAGGAAGCCATGCTCTTCCGAGACGAAGAAGGACAGGACCAGCACGTCTGCCTGCAGAGGGACACGTCCTGTCTTCAGTTCAACAGAAACTTTCCTGGTTCTTGTCTGACCCCACTGGCATTGCCAGGAAGTTTACATAAAACACAGAGAATAGAGCGGCCGACAGGCTGGTTCTCATATAACCCCACTCTCCCTGCCGAGGACCCTGAGCACGACCCCTGTGGAACAAGGTGGGTCCAGAGAGGTGCACGCACGAGGGTCAGAGGGCATTTTCTGGGGCCACTGGGCGTCTTGCAAAACAGGACAGTGGAAAGCAGTGGAGTCTGGGCCCAATGAGGGGATGAGGTGTTGGGGAGGGAGGCCCTGCAGAGAGCAGAGGGCGGTGACCGAGGCTGGGGGCCTGCTGATTGGGGAACAACTGAGGGGACCTTNCCACTGGGCGTCTTGCAAAACAGGACAGTGGAAAGCAGTGGAGTCTGGGCCCAATGAGGGGATGAGGTGTTGGGGAGGGAGGCCCTGCAGAGAGCGGAGGGCGGTGACCGAGGCTGGGGGCCCGCTGATTGGGGAACAACTGAGGGGACCTTCATAACTGGACCCCACAGGATGCGCCCAGATCAAGGGTGACTCCGATCCCTGAGAGAAAATGGCACGTGACAGAGGGTGGGACCAGCTCTCAATGTCAACCCATAGGGGAGAGGTGTCCCCTGACGTCCTGGGGGTGGAGACTGGCTCCCTGGAATCTGTTCCCTACCACTTCCCCAGGGTCCACATTGGGAAGAAGAGCCCGCCCTGCCCGCCCGTCCAAACACACAGGCGACTGTGCAAGGAGCAAGGGGCCCACACTGGCCTCGGCCGGCACGCTCCTGTCCACGGGCTGCTGTGGGGCGCTGGGCACCTCCCGTACGGCTTCGCACACGAACAGCCGGGGCTCGCTCTGATCCCAGAAGTGGTTCACAGGCACGAGGTCTGTCAGCCTCTCATCCTCCAGGGCCTGGCTCCTGAAAGAGAAAGAAACCCGCACGCATGATACATCGACGCCCTGAAGAAAGACCGGCAGGGACGCTGACGGGTTTCTGCACCTTGAAACCTGGGGCTGCCCGTGGGCACTTGAGTTGCAGCCCTTTCAGAAGCTCAAGTTCCTGGCCCATGACTCCAGAACCTCAGAACCGAGGAAACAGATTAGACTCAAATCCCCACGACGGCCCAGGGGAGCGGGCTTCTGTTTCACCTCTGGTCCTCACTGCTCATGATCACTAAGCTCTTCCAAGTATGAAGAAAACTTAGCAACAAACTGCCTCCAAGCCAACAAGTAACTGAGCATCATTTTCAACATCTTTTTTCAACAAAGTCCTCCCAAACCACAGTCTTACTTCTTTGTCTCCTGCCCATTAATGGACAATGTCTCTCTTTGATCTATCTGTCCTGTCTTGAGGTCGAGGATGGTTACTGTGTCCATATCCACGTCGTAGAAGCAGATTTTGGAGTCAGGGCTGTTGTCAGCCTAGGAAACGAGAGCTGGAGCTCAGTGTGCCTGCCCACCGACATCCCACGTGCTCGGGAGAGGCGCCTGAGGTCCCAGCAAGTGACTCTCCAGACTGCGGAATTCCAACATCAGCTTATGTTCATCCCACTGAAGTGGCTGTGGGTTTACTATTTTCTAATTTCAGCCGATTCCCCATAGTGGCTGGGCCCACCGCTGCCCTTCAGCCCTGCTTCTCTCCTCCCAGTTCTCACCAGGGTTGTAAAAATTTACTTGGGTCTGCTCATCCACAGGGGTGGGGTCGAGTCCCCCATTTAACACATCAGTTTGTGTTTACAGTACCCAGCAAAGTGCATGGTACACACACGGCAGCGAGCAACCCACTCTGGAATGAATGAGTGAATGAGAGAGTGAATGAATCACTGAATGAGTGAATGAGTTGGTGAGTGAACGAATGAGTGTGTGAATGAGTGAATGAGAGAGGCACTCATGAGCAGACACTGACGGCGGGAAGGCACCAGCTCCTCTAGAACCAACGCCCCTGCCACCTAGCTCCTTCACACCCACTCTCAAAGCAAGAGGCTCCAGGTCACTCCTGCTGCCAAGAGACCTCAGTCTGATGATGGAAAGAGGCAGAAAGGAAGAGGTGAGGGTCTGTGCAAGAACCACTGCTTCTGATGACACAGGGAGTGAAGTGAAGGAAGGTGGCAAGGCGGAGGGAGCCCCAGGAGGTGGAGGGGGCACCAGGGCCGCGGGAGGGTAGGGCAGGCAGGGCAGCACACGCAGGGACCCACCTTGCTGAGGAGGAGGCTGATCTTGCTGCCGCTGGCATTGCATCTGAGCGAGGTCAGGCCCCCCACGCCTGGGACCAGCTCGGCCAGGCTCTTGCAGCTGCAGTGCACCTTGGCCTCTCTGTGGGGAAGGACGAGGTCTCAGTGGCCCTGCTGGGGAGGGCAGGCGAGCCCTTCCCCTCGGGCCGGGAACCTGGGCCCAGGGGCTCTCACTTCAGGAATGCGAGACCCAGGAAATGGGCTGGGCTCAGAAGACAGGGCAAGTTTTTACATTTTTTGGTGGAGATATAATTGACATATATGTTACCTGAGTTTCAGGAGCACAGTGTAACAATCTGCTATTTGTGTGGCTGAGGTTTTAAAGTTCTGTTTTTGTCAACAGGCAGGAGCACTATCTCGTTCCCATCACAGACTGCAGGAGCAGCAGATTACAGATGCCGCGCTGTGCACACAGCACGGCCGTGGGCTCTGCTGCTCACCCTTCGTTACAGCCACGTGCTTTTCCACTGTGTGGAAACTCAAATTTATTACACTAGTCTCCTGTTTAGGTGTGTCTAGTTTGATGCCTCCAGAAACAAAACTGACTTGTAGAGATAGCTCACCATGACTTTCTTTATTCACATTTCCTTATTTTCCCCCTAGTGTTCTCCTTCTGCCCTGGATCCCCATCCAGGCCTCACGTGACATCTAATCATCTCGTCTCCCTGGGTCCCTCTGGGCTGGGACAGAGCTTCGGGCTCCAGGCTCATCTCGTGTATTTCCTGCCTAGGCCCAGAATCCATTCCAGCATCAATCTCTGAGGAGCCCACTCCCTTTCCTGCAGGAGGATTTGGACCCAGATCTGGACATGGGGTGTGCTTATTGATCCTGGGTTGTCATTGCTCCCAGACCCCAGCAGCGGTGTCCTCATACCTGCATCCACACAAAGCCACACCTGGCTCGAGACTCAGGTCTCCACCTTGGATGCATTTGCTCAGGGGTCACTCAGCCTCCTCCCCTGATGACTTGGAAACCACTCCTCAGGTGAAAAGCCGGCTCCCTGCCAGTCCCCATCCTGACACTCAGCTGCTCATGACCAACCTGGATGCCTCCCCGCGCCTGTGGGAACTGACTATCAGCACAGTGCGTGCTGCATGTGGCTCCTCAGCTATTAGTCTCAGGGCCCCGCTCAGACCCAGGGTGACCCGAGCAGCTGCTAGGGCGGAGGGAGGTGGTTCCACACGCTCATGAATGGGGGTTGTCCTGCCTTGTCTGCCTTCCATCCTGGGCCCCCCTGAACTGAAAGGTTGTTTTTTTTTTTTTCTCCCCACTCCCTCCCAGCCCTGAAAGGTTGTTTTAATTTGCAGATACTAACGCTCACTGTGAGCTGTAAAGGTCTGTGGATTTTGCCAAGTACACTGTGTCACGTGTCTACCACACAGTGACGCTGCTCCCCACTTCATGCAGAGTTTAAGACTTTAAACCAAGATATCAGGCATTTCCAACAGGAAAGTGCACATTAATGTTGAAACGAGAATATAAGCAGTCTGCTGCCCCCGTCTGCCTTCTATCCATCGCACTGTCTCCCAACGCATTTAAAATACTTTTTTTGGACAAAAACTGTACCTTCGGGAAAGATCAAAGCTTTTAAAGTAAGCCAAGTCCGTCCCTACAACCAGGAAAGTTCCACAGATGTCCAAGAAGCACGGGTTCCCCTCTGACTCGGAGAATGGCAGGAGCTGCTTCACGGTCCCCTAAGGAAAAAGGAGGGGACAGGGACCTCAGGGGGGCTGCAGTCACAGGCCCCACCCCTTGCTGGAGTCTCACCCCACGTGGGAGGATGGGCCCTGTCGTCAGGGAATTCCTGGTGCTTCTGGTCGGGGGGAGGTACAGAGTAGCCAGGTCAACAAGCAGGTGTGCACGTGACTCAGCCTGAGCACGTGCAGATAGGTGATGGAAGGGATGCTAAAAGAAAACAATTTAGGTGGTAGCAGGTGGAATTCCATCCGCTCGGGTTGATGCGGGAGATGCTGCCCATGAGGTCTTACGTTAATGCCCCAGTGAAGCTGACTGTGTGGCTAGTGGTCACCTCTAGGGGAGGCCGTGAGTGGAAGGGGTGGTGATCACCTCCCAGGTATGTCCATCTGTGAAAACTCATGAGCCACACACACAACATGCCTACTTTTCTGTGTGTCCACCATATGCTGGTAAATGCCTGAGAACAGATCTTGTCTGGGGGGCAAGTTGAAGTGAGCCTGGGGGGAAGGGCCAGCCATTGGAGAGCTGCACTGGCCTTCCAGAAGGAGAAGGAGCTGGGTGGCAGGAAGGAAGGCAGGCCCTGAGGCAGGCAGTGAGCAGACACCACATTGGGCATCAGTGCAGGCCAAGGGAAGAGTCAGAGTCTGTTCTACATGAAGCTGGAAGACTCTGGAGGGTTCTGAGCCACAGGTGACTTAAAATCATTTATGTTTTAAAGTGTTGTTCTTCCACACATTCCACTATTATTATTATTTTGGAAAGAGTGACCAGAGTCAGGCCTGGGCGGAGCTTATGCTTTTGGGTATCTTGTGCATGGATTGACCCCTCTCCTTGGAGCTGAGATGGGTTCCCGGCTCAATTTGAAACAGGAGGGAAGGGGGCAGGGCACAGCTTATGAAAGAATGACATAACCCAAGGACACAACATAAACCAATTAGAATCAAATGGGTACAAGGTGGCAGACTCCATTTCCCTGTGGCTCAGATGGTAAAGAATCTGCCTCCAATTCGGGAGACCTGGGTTCAATCCCTGGGTCAGGAAGATCCCCTGGAGAAGGGAATGGCAACCCACTCCAGTATTCTTGCCTGGAGAATCCCACGGACAGAGGAGCCTGGCAGCCTACAGTCCATAATGTTGCAAAGAGTTGGACATGACTGAGCCATTAACACTTTCACTTTCAAAATGGCAGTAAAGTCAGCTTCCCCTAGACTTTGATCCGCAATCAGCAAGCTAAATGACCACCCAAAGGCACTATGACAGTTCCAAGACACCAAAAGTCAAAAGACCAAAAAGTGGGTGGTGGCCCAATTCCTGGAAATCTCTACCCCTTCCCCCAAATAGCTGGAATAATCCTCCAACTCATTAGCTTATGAATTACCCAGCCCATAAAAGCTAACCACACCATATTTCAAGGCCTCTGCACTTGCCCTCTGTGATGGCCCACACGGCCTGTGGAGTGTGTTTCTCTCTGAATAAACCCATTTCTTACCTGTTACTTTGTCTCTCACTGAATTCTTTCTGCAATGAGACATCATGAACCTGAGCTTTATCAGATCCCGAAACTAGGTCTGTGACCTCAGTGGGAAGACTGTGGGTTTTGGCTGGTTTGAGTCCCAGCACCTGGGTTCAAGTCCCAGTCTGAGGTAAATGGTTTTATGTTCAACCAATGCCCAATGAGTGTCTGCTTGGCTTGGCACTGGGCTGGGAGCAGGAAGGCCAGGGGAGGGGTTTCCCACGGAACTTAGTGGGCTCCTCATACCAAGAACAGAGACTCAGGGAGTCTTTATTGAATTTATTACAATATTGCTTCTGTTTCATATTTTGCTTTTTTTTTTTGGCCATGAGGCATGTGGGAGCTGAGCTCCCTGACCAGGGTTCAAATACATACCCCCTGCATTGGAAGGCCAAGTTTTAACCACTGGACCAACAGGGAAGTCCCTGACACATATTCCTTTCGATAAAAATTTAAAAAGGTTAAACTCTTGTCTATGGTCAGATGCTCCTAAGTTCCTGCCATGATTTCCAGCTTGACACTCACCCCTTCCCAGCATGCTGTTCTCTTTTCCCAGCATGCCTTTTGTCCCTTCCCAGAATGCCCTTCACCACTTTCCCAGCATGCATTTCACCCCACCAGCAACCTTTCACCCTTTTCCCAGTAAGCTTTTCACCTGTTCCCTGAAGGCCTTTCTGTTTTCTCCCAGTATGCCTTTTGCTGCTTTCCCAGCAGGCCTTTTATTCTCTCCCCATAGGCCTTTCATAATATGCCTTTGGTTCTCTAGCAGCATGCCTTTCATTCTCTCCCAGTATGCCTTACGCCCCTTTCCCAACATGCTTTTCCCTCCTTTCCCAGTATGCCTTTGTTGCTTTCCCAGTGGACCTTTCATTCTCTTCCTGTATGTNATGCCTTTGTTGCTTTCCCAGTGGACCTTTCATTCTCTTCCTGTATGTCTTTCACTCCTTTCCCAATATGCCTTTCATTCTCTCCCAGTATGCCTCTCACTCACCTTCCTAGCATGCCTTTCACCCCTACCAGCAACATTTTGCCCTTTTCCCAGTGTGTCTTTCATTTTCTGCCAGCATGCCTCTCACCCCTTCCCAGCAGGCCTTTCCCTCTCTCCCCATATGCCTTTCACTCCTTTCCCAATATACTTTTTGTTTTCTCCCAGTAAGCCTCTTATTTCTTTCCTAGTATGCCTTTTGCTGATTTCCCAGCATGCCTTTCAATCCTTTCCCAATATGTCTTTCATTCTCTCCCAGTGTGCCTGCCACCCCTTCTCAGCAGGCCTTTCCTTCTTTCCTACATGCCTCCACCTTCCAGCTGGAGTTCATCCCTCTAATAATCCAGCTGCTCCATCATCTGTTGTTAGCAGGGATCCTTCCTACCTCAGCTTTATGTCCACACCTAATGCCCCTTCACCACTATCAGCAATATGCAAGGCACATCCCTCCAGCCTCCCCACCTGCCCTCTGACCTGAACCTGGCCAGGCATCTCAAGGCCCAGATCCCTCCCTGCAGTTCCCGCAAAAGGCTCATGGGACTGCGGCTGCCTTCCCTATTTGTCAGGTCTCTATTCCAATGCCTCCCCCTGCAATACTTCCCAACCCCCTCCATACTTTACTGTGCTCCTTACCATCTGACCCTCCTACTAGAAACTAGAACTGCAGGGAAGCTCCTTCAGGAGTTACTGAATGGAGAAGGGGAGGTATAAGCCTGTGGGGTATAAGCGCAGGCCAGACCTCAGGAAAGAACTCAGAGCTGGACACAGTGGTCACACAGTGAGAGCTAAACCAGCAGCACAGCAAGTGTCCTCAACTGTGATGCAGAACACTGCACGTGCGGGGTGAATGGCCTCCCCTGAAAGATACACCCACTTGGATGTAAACATGACCTTATTTGGAAAAAGGGTCTTTGAAGATATAACTAAGGATCTCAAATGGAGACAACTCTAGATTAGGGTGGACCCTAAATCCAGGGACAAGTGTCCTTCTCAGACACAGGGAGAAAGCCATGTAAAGATGGAGGCAGACACCTGGCTATAGGCTACAGAATGCAAGGAATGCCGGCAATGCCAGCAGCTGGAGGAGGCATGGTACAAACTCTCCCCCAGAACGGCAGAAGGAGCAGCCTTGCCCACACCTAGATTTTGGACTTCTAGCCTCCTGAACGGTGGTGAGGAAGATAAATTTCTATTAAGCCATTTAGTTTGTGGTCACTGTTTACGGCCAGTTCAGGAAACTAATACTCTGTGTCAGCCCCAGGGATAAAGCAAGTGTGCACGGGATGCAGGCAGGCAGGGGTTCCCCTACTGCACCCCCTGTAGCGGACAGAATGGTGTGCTAGAGCCTGTGGTCCTGGAGGTACGCATGGCTCCCACCCTCAAGACATGTGCAGGAAAAGGTCTAAAGATGTGGCCCAAACTGACGGCCCCTCAGTGCTCCAGGTGCACATTAAACCGCACAGCTTCCCCCCATTTCATAATCCCATGCACTCTAGGAGAGCCAGGCAGTCCCTTTCAGGGCTAAGGGCCACTGCCTTACCTCCTGATTTCTGAAGTCACAAGAGCTGTCGATGGAACAGCTATGTGAGAATCCATTTATACAACCAGACACCCAGTGAGGGGATCTGATAAGGCTGGGTGAAGTCACTAAGCAGGCTCTGGCTTGATTTAGATGTGGCATTTCAAACTCTGCTCTAACTGTCTTGAACGTCATAGGCCACTCACTGGAGAGCAGCAATTTACCTGCCAGGTTCGAACTTGGACTCTGTTTGGCTCCACCGTATAAACATTTTCTTCATGCATGGCTAACACTGGAGTCTCACACAGGAAGGACCCTAAAATGACAGATAGAAGTCATCACAGCGGCAGCTAGTGTTGTCAGAGCTCCTTAGAGTTTTGGAAGCATTCTCACACTAAAACTAGAACTCTTTATAGAGTGCTTGATAGGAAAGACTGGAATCTAGCAGAAAACAGCTTCTACAACTAAGGTAATAAAGAAGAGCCTCAGGCTAAAATGATGGGGAGAAAGGGCAGAGGTGCGGCATCAAGAATGTTCTCACGTGTGCACCCTATTGTGCCTTGGCCCCACAACAGTCTTGTGAAAGGTGTGTTTTCTTCATCTTGGAAAGTGAGGCTCCAAGATACAGGGACTGCCCAGGGCCACGGCTGCCAGTGCCGGCCTGATGGGGCACCCAGTACCAGGCACCCGGCCTCACTACTCACTGACGGCCTCGCCTCCTCCCTCCTGGCGAGCAGCTGGTGCTTCCCACAGCACAGCCTCTGTGAGAGCACCACTGTCCAAGAGGCAGCTCATTGTACATGGGACTCTGGAGGCCACCAGCTCTAGCCCAGGCACAAGAATGGGTGTGGGGTCTCCCAGTGGTCCAGGACCTGCCCTCTGCCGGTGCCTCAGAAACCAGCACCCCCACCCACATCAGATGCAAGGGGCTAAAAAGACTCCCACCTGCAGTGCGTAACGTGGCTCCAGACGGCTCAAAGATCACCACCTGTTTTCCATTCCAGACAGCAACAGCATCCTACGAAGAGCCACGGAAATGAAAAAGCAACTGGTCATTGGGGCCTCACTGTCCCCAGTGACCCTAACAACTGGCCAGGGCTTCTATCTACATCGACGACCCTGCCCCCCACCCACAGGTCACCCTAGCAGTGACCTTGGTGGCGAACACTCCGCTGACGTGCATGTCTGTGCGCAGGCTGTGGGTCACCCCCGTGGACAGGAAAGACACGCTGAGGAGGCTCGGCGAGACCTGCACGGCGGCCACCTGCTGGTGGAAGTGGGACGACATGGCCTGCTCGCGGAGGATGAGCACGGAGCTGATGCTGTTCACAGCCAGAAGGCTCTTCCTGGAGCCCCACTTGGTTTCCACAAGGAGAGACACCACCGAGGTGTGAACAGAAAGGAGAGGTGCAGTCAGGGCAATGTCACAGGTATGAAGATTCATAAACAGTCTCCAAGCACTGCTTCTTATTTAAAGTGAAAGTGAAGTCGCTCAGTCATGTCCGACTCTTTGTGACCCCATGAACTGTAGCCTACCAGGTTCCTCCGCTCCATCCATGGGATTTTCCAGCCAAGAATACTGGGGTGGGTTGCCATTTCCTTCTCCAAAATTGCTCTAAGACATCCCTAAACTATTTACCATGTAAGTTTCATTTCCTGATTAGATTAATTAAACTTCATCTTTAAAAGTTCAGGGAGCTCCCTGGGGTAGGACACTGCCCTCTCCTGGTCGGGGAGCTAAGATGCTATATGCTGCAGGCCCGTATCACACAGATCAGAGCTGAGAGGCCAGGCCCAGGACGGCAGGCGAGGAGTCCGGAGGACACAACAGGCCTAACTGGTGAGAACTGTGAGAACACAAATGCCCATTTCTCTTGGAATTGGGCACAGAGTTAAATGGAGAAAGACAGACTGAAGAAAATCTACTGAGTTTAGAGAGAAGAGCAGAGTCTGTGGCAGGTGAGCCTGGTGGGCAGGTTTGGCCAAGATGCCCGGGGAGGGGCGGCCGCCAGCGTCTCTCACCGCTCAGCTCCGCACACAGGCCAGCTCCAGGGTGTGGGGAGGCTCTATCTTGGGAATGGAGCCTGACCACACGGACCAGGCCTTCACCCCAGCTTGCTTCTCGCGGGGAGGCAGTCCTGGACCAGAGGCTCCGGGGCCAAAAGCCGCTGTCCCCACGGGCAGGCTCTGGAGCGGCAAGTTCCCAACACAAGCATCTCTATCTAAAACAGAGTGTGGGCAAGAGAGCAGCGCCCGGAGAGTGGTGGAGGTCTGGAGCATCAGGAGGAGGCTGGGGCAGGCGTTCCCCGCGGCTCAGCGGTGAGGACTCGACATTCTCACTGCCAGGGCCGGGCTTCAACCCCTGGTCGGGGAAATAAGATCTCACAAGCCGAGGGGCATGGCCAAAATAACATAAGTGAAAAAACAAAACAGATGATCGTAGAGATAAAAGGATGGGTAGATAGGTAAAATAGATATAGACTACCACAGACCCACAACCACTTATCTGACTTCTGACCCAACAGGCCTTTATAAATATTTTATTGTTGCTATTTTTTAATCTTAAGTTGAACAATTGACAAAAATAGGTTCAGAGCCAATTACTGCTTCCACTTGTGCAGAAAGTGAGGGCCCCCAGCACCCCATAGGGTGTACCTTTATCTGCATGATGTTTCCTTCCAGCTCAGTGGGGGTCTGAAGGGTCCACTTTTCTTTGCCCTCGGCCCCGTGGCCATTCGGGAGGCCTGGCACTTTTCTCCACATGGCTACTCGCCCCTTGTCAGTACCTGCTGCCAGGAGACCTACACGTAAAAAGAGAGCTCACCTTAGCTGAGTCGGAAAGGGATAAAATGGCAGCAGGCTCCCTCCTCTGACCACCCTCCCAGACGTATCAGCCCGCCCAGTGACTCTGCAGCCACTTACCCGGCTGATCCTCTTTGCAGGAGCTCACTGCCGTGGCGACAGTGCGCGTATACATGCATGAGTGTGTGTGTGGTAGGGGCCACACAGGACTTGGCACTCGGTGGGCACAGAGGTGCTGCTCCCATGCATCTCCTATTCCACTGTGTATGTGTACACAGGTGCACACGTGTGTACACATACACACATCCATGCACATATATATTAATACATGCACACATACAATGTTCCTCACGCTCTCTCCCGAGGTTTCAGGAGGAACAGACACCCATTCCTGCAGCTGGATGGCCACATTCCCGACCATCTCCTGGGCCACCACATGGGACAACACAGCACCCGCCTCTCTCTTGCTCTGGGCTGACCATCCTCGAGTGGCTGGTTCTGAGAAGAGTCCCCAATGCCAGAAGTCTCACCTTTAACTTTACAGTAAGAAACGCAATTTATATTCTCTCCTTTTTCAAAACCAAACTTTTCCTCTGGACTCAGGACGTAGCTCTCCCCTCGTTCTAAATCCCAAAATCTACAAGGCAAGCAGGAAAGCCTGTGTTAGTGTGTTTCCCTCAGCTCCGAGGGTCTTGTTCAACTTGCAGATTAAACTTTAAAAATCAGGAAAAAGACACAGGCCTTCAGACTCTGCAAAAAAATGTTTCTCATCATCACGCTGTCTGTTAGGCCTTGTTCATGACCAAAGGGAGAGGCTGCCAATGCAGACGGTCCCTGTGGGATATTAAGTCAGGAGCTCCGAGCACCCAAGCCCGGGAGACCCCTGATGTCACGCGGACTTGAAGTGATGCACCAAGAGGCCGCGACATGGGTTTCCACAAACACAGGGGCAGGGGCAGAAAGGCAGGGGATGGCAGGACACCATGGGGCAGGCACTGGGGCTCTGACTGTCCTGCTCATCCACCTCGGAGCTGGTTACACAGACACGTCCAGCTGGTGACAATTTGCCATCATTCGTGTGCTGGTCTCTGTGTACGTTAGGCTCCGGTACAGAGCCGACTCACAAGAGTGCTGGGGCCAGACTCCTCCCTCCAACCTCACAGGGTCGGCTCTCACCTGAGCGCCGTCTCCCCGATGGCGGTCACGAGCAGGCTGCCGTCGATCAGCGTGATGTCTGCCCGGTGGCCCGTCTTCCCACTCAGCTTCACCTGCACAACAACAGGCACCTGAGAGGAGGTGTCACCCGTGTGGAGGCTGTGTCACTGGTCAGGGGCTGGACTCTGTTGGCAGCGAGTCCATGGAGACTGCCCACGCAAAGGAAGCGCAGGTGGCCCCAGCCTTTCAGGCAAGAGCAGTTAATGGAGCCTCTCATGGGGGAGGCACCCTCACACCCATGCGCAGAGCCAGTGAGGGGCCACGGGGTGATTTGAACCCAGGTCTACGGACTCAGTGACCACATTTCAGCTGCTATGGAGACAGAGGCGCACGAGGGCCCTGAACACACTGACTTTCTGCGTCCACCAGTCCACGTCCAGGGAGGCTCAGGGCCCCTGAGAACCCGGAATCCGTGGGTGGAACCGAGAAGCCACAGTGCGGCAAGCAGTCCTCAGGGAGCTGTACATGCTGCCTGACCACACCCCAGGCTCTGGCGTCCTCCTGCAGGCAAGCCCCTGGGTCAGGGGTGGGGTACCCACAGGGATGGTGCAGCATCCAGAGTTGCAACTGTCACATGTGTGGGCCAGCCGTGGTGGGAACACTGGTGACAACCCCTAAGGTCTGCACATGGCCAGGCATCCCCACCACAGACCCCCTGCCTTCTGAGGCTCGCCGCCCCTTCCCCCAACGTCTCCCCCACCTGTGACTGCAATGGTCTACAACAAATAAGGCACCAAAGCTCTGGTGACCCTGCAACATGGACTCCTCAACCAAGATGAAGCGGGGGTGAGGCAGGCCAGAGGGCGCCCCTGGGGTGGCCCCACGCACCTTCATCACCTCCTCGGCCGTGCCCTCGGGCGTCACCGTGAACAGGCAGAGCAGCAGGCTGTCCGTCACCGCCACCAGTGCCCCCCTCTGCTCCAGGTAGAACAGCGTCTGGATGGAGCTGTCTGTGGATGCTACCTGGGCCGTCCTGCCTTTCTCATCCACGTGGTGCACAGTCCCTGTGAAAGAGCCATGGGTCCATGGAAGCTGGGTGTTCCCATGGCCATTCTACCTGCTTAAGGACACTTTCAACATAAGCATCTTCATCACAATCATTTACAAATAAGCCATTTTAAAAACCACTGGCAGACTTCCCCAGTGGTCCAGTGCTTAAGTCTCCATGCTCCCAAAGCAGGGGGCCTGGGTTCGATAGCTGGTCAAGGAACTAGATCCCACAGGCCGCAACTAAAGACCCAAGGCAACAAAATAAAATAAATTAATTAAAAAACAGAACAACACTGGCCTGTAGCTGCTACACCTGCTGTCCTGTGCATTAGTCAGCCTGGACTCCTGCCCCTGCCATCCCCTCCACCGCTGTCCGGCGCTCAGTGACCGCCCTCCTGATGCACAGCCTTCATGCTCCGGTTATGTCCGTCTGCCTCAGCCACGACCTTCCCTGGGGCCTTGACCCAGGCCCTCCGTCCCAGGTCCTGGGTATCACAGCCTGCCCCTCTTCCCCTCCCCAGGCCCCTCCCAGTCTGGATCCCTCGCCTTGGCCCTGAGCTGCCTCCCGGTTCTGCTTTCAGGCGAGCTCTCAGGTGGGTTCATTCTGCTGCTCTCAGGAGCCCCTCACCCTCGGGCCCCCTCCCATCTCACTCCCAGAAATGAGCACCTGCTCCACAGACACGTGCGGCGGGCTAGGTGTGCACGTTCACGTGAGCTCTGCCCATGGGGTGCAGGAGACGGGGACTGCGTGTCCCAGGCCGTGCCTGGGAGCTGAGGCACAGGGACGGTGGTGCCCAGCGGCACAGAGCCTGGCCCGCAGTGCCCAGCACAGCGTCGCCCTCCGCCTCAGGGCTGCGCCCCAGTCCCTCCAGCTGCCCTCCTGCAGCTCCGCCCCTCACCCCAACATGCCGGAGTCTCTACCTTTAAGACGACCAGCACCCGGCCCCTGCCCACAATCACCCGTCACGGTCAAGCTGCCTGGCCACGCGCGTCCCAGACCCCATCACCCCGTGCAGCCCCACCTCCTGGGCCCCTTTCCCGCAGCAGACACGACCTGTGAACGTCCCCTGAGAGGACGAGACCCTCACGCTGCGTTGCCGCTGCTGCCTGCCTCCCGGTGTGCCGAGGAGGAGCCGTGTTACAGCCGACAGCACTGCCCAGCCCCTAGAGCTGCCAGTGACCACGGCCAGCGGAGCCCGTCCAGCGCCCCAGTGTCCCCAACCCCAGCATGCGTCTCACCGTCCGTCAGGCTGACGAAGAACGAGAGGCCCTCCTGAGACCCCATCTTCAGGATGCTCCCAAAGCCACTCTTCCTCCAGTTAAACATGTCCAGGGCCTTCTCGTCCCCGCTCACTGCCGCCCTGGCCAGCTGAACCAGGTCCCTGAAACCAGACGGGACAGGGAGCTCCTCGTGGGCCCCTGGGTGCAGGCGGGGTGACCACAGACGAGACCCTGACCGCTCCCACCTCCCACGTGGTACTCACTCGCCGGGCGGGGGCAGCAGGAAGATGCAGTGGGTGAGGGGCTGCCCGTACTCGTGCCGCAGCAGCGGCATCCCCTGCACGCGGCCCCGCTGGTCCAGCCTCCACAGGAGCAGGACGCCGAGCTGCAAACCCAAGGTCACATCCTCAGCGCACGGAGGTGACAGTGCACCCGGAGCGTGGGCTCACTGCCTTTCCAATCAAAACTGTAGCAGGATGACACGAGCACCGTGAAAAACCCAACAATCCACAGGCTCCATGAGGAGCCAGAAGCTTCTCTGTGCCCTCTCCCGCCTTCAGTGTCTGGAGATCACAAGTGTCACATGTTCAGTTTCAAAAAACAAACCTTTGCTTTGAGGACAGACTCAGATTCAAGGGAAGGTGGCAAAGGCAGTTGGGAGAAGCCCCAGCCCCGCCCCGCTTGCTCCCGTCACCGGGGAGCACGCCACTAGCGGCAGCCGGGGCTTCACGCCTCCCGGGGCCGCGTCCTCACACGCAGGGGGCCACACCTCCTCGGGCTCCTGCTTCAGACGCCTGCCCGGTATAAGGAAGCCTGGCCAGGGGCTCCAGAGTGTGCCCCCCGGAGGGATATGTCTGATGTTTTCCTCCTTGATGATGGGGTGGCAGGTTTGAGAGGGACACCGGAGGGAAAGTGCTGTTGTTGGCAAGTTGGATCGGGGTCGTGCCCTCGACGTGACCTCCCTCACTGGGCCCTCCTGCCAAATTGAAGGAATTTGCTGGGTGTGGCCCACACGTAGGAGGGGAGTGACGTCTCACCTCTAGGTCATCTGGAGATGTGTCCCGTCTCCCAGCATTTACTGACTTAAGTCAGATTCCCATCATCTGGACCCACGGATGTCTAGTTTCTGCTCATGGTTATAACCCAGTATTGCTTTGTGCAGACGCTCCAGCTCCGGCCGCTGGGCACTCTTCCCTCGGCCTCCACTGTCCGTTTCACACGGCCGTCGCTGTGGGTGTGTGAGCCCCTCCTCGCACCCTGGCCGACAGACCCTCTGGGCTCACAGTCCTGCCGCAGCCCAGGACCAGCTGCTTCTCCTAGGAGCCCTAGCTCCTTTTACTGGAAGAGACCGACCAAGACCTGGGTGCCAGATGTGCTGTACATCGGAGTCTCAGGGTCTCAGATTAACAGTCCAGACAAGTGCCAGAGAAGTTCAGGTTGGGAGAGACCATTTGGCCTGGGAGCAACAGTCCATGAGGGCTTCTGGCTGCGGACGAGCCTGGCTGTGAGAAATGGCAACGCTGCCATCACAGCAAGGCAGCTGCGCTTTGCAGCCCAAGCCATCCTGAAGGCGCGTCTCCTGCTCCAGGTCAGTGGGCATTTTAGCAGACAGTGAGGCCATCTTCTCTCCCTTCACTCAAGTCGCTTTCATTCCAATATCCCCAAAATTGGATAACATCACTTAACTGTACATGAAAAGAGGATCTTCAAATAAGTGGGCCTTATAAAGCAACCTGTACAGTGGATCTCTAAGAAAAGCATGTTAAGAGTGGACATAGTATGTAACCTGAGTATACATACAATCTAAATCATGTATCATTAGTCTGATGCCTCTATTTTTTTTTAAAAATCCACTTTTGGCTGTGCTGGGTCTCGTTGCTGAGTGCAGACTGTCTCTAGTTGCGGCGAGGGGGCTACTCTAGTTACATGGGTGGGCTTCTCCTTGCGGGAGCTTTTCTTACTGCAGAGCACAGGCTCTAGGGCCCATGGGCTTCAGGAGCCACGGCTCCCGGGCTTGAGAGCACACGCTCAGCAGTCGTGGTGTGCGGGCTTCGTTGCCCTACACATGCCACATCTTCCCAGACTGGGGATCAAACCCGTGTCCCCCACATAGCAAGGCGGATTCTTCACCATTGGACCACCAGGGAAGGCCAAACAGATTCTTTTTGACTTTGCCAGCTTTATAAAGACAGGAATAAAAGCACTCTTGGTTTCTTTGTGTTTAGAAATTACTTTTCAAATGCCCTGCGAGTGCAGCCGGGCAGCACTTTTTTCTTTTCTGGCTGCGCTGCGCCGGTCATGGGATCCTAGTTCCTGGACCAGGGATGGAACCCAGGCCCTACCAGGGAGAGTGCTGAGCCCCAACCACTGCACCGGCAGGGAATTCCCACCCAGCACTTAGTTTTTAACACAGTAACTGACTGTTTTACCAGTACATGCAAGCGTCGAGCTGACGACCCCTCTGGCTCCTGAGAGGCCATGTACACTGCACATCCAGGCCCCGACAGCTGCTCTGGGGACATGCCTGGGGCCCAGGCCCTGGAGTGGTGGGTTCGGCTCAGAGGCCTGCAGACCCCTATTCGGACACGAGGACAGACGCACCACGGGGGGTTGGGGGAGGCCATGGGAGGTCCTCTCTTGTCTCCAGGAACCAGGCAGACACGACTGCCAAGCGGAAGACAGCACAGCAGATGCCTCTGGGCCCCCCACCACTCCTGCGGGCCACTCTCTGGGTGCACAGCAGCTGCCATTCATCCCAAGTCAATGCACTCAGACCTCCTTCTCGGCTCCTGCCCTCCAGTTCGGCTCCCGCCCCTATAGACGTGGGACACTTTGAGGCTCCCAGACTGGGCTCTCCTGCTGCATCTGGTGAGTCTCAGGGTAACCAAACCAGGCCTCTGGTAGAAGAGTGGAGAAGACCCTCGGCCAAGCCCGGGGAGCCGGCATCTCAGGGGTCACTGACTGTTCTCAGCGTGTCTGTTCACTTGTTAGTACATCTCTTCCTGTCGGAGTCCAATATTAAATTGGGACACAACTGCAGATTTTCTGAGACAAGGACCAGGTATTTTTGTTCTGAAATCCTTTAACTTCACAACTCGGTCAGCAGTGACCTGGGCTCTGGGTTGCGCTTGAGTCATCTGCTTTGTCAGTTGTTTCTCCTTTCTTCAAGATGCAAATGGTGATGTTCAAGGACCCTGACTGCTTTTATCCCCATGGGGGATTTTCAGGGCAGGGAGGTGGGGAAGGGGTAGGAGTCCACAGGAGAAGGAGCCTGGGGTGGGGCAATGTCACCAGGTGTGAATAGAACAGAAAAACAAGAAAGGTCTGGAAAAAAGGAACAAGTAGAACAGGGAAGAAGCAGTATGAGCAGAAAGCAAGTATAAATGGCTTTCTAGGTAACATTCACCCTCAGGAGGAAGAGAAACGCACGCAAACTGGAACACAACTGAGACAGCACTTCTCCCACAAGATCCTGAGCTTGGTCACAACACACGCGCGGTGCGGGTTGGTGTGAGCCGGTCAAGCCCCACAGAGGGGGCTCTGGGCACAGCGACCAAACCACAAGGGCACGACCTGGGTCCCACCTTCCTCCAGGACTTTCTCTAAAGGTTCGCATGTGTGAAAGGACAAAAGCATGAGGACAGCTGTCATGTCACCTTCCAACAAAGAACTGAAGACTGCTTTTCCACAGAGGCTGCAAAGGCAAATGGTAACAGGTTCATGGAACAAAAGGCAGGTCTAAAGAGAGTGAGGAGGCTCGCTGTGCGCCGCTGTGGAGAGTGGAAGACACGGCTTCCGATGAAAAGCCTGAGCACAACAGTGTGTGCCGGATGCTGCTGCTCACGGGACAAGGATCCAGGAAAACAGGGAGGGGACGGTGTAACCCGTGTGAAGACACACAAGAGATCAGGAGATAGCCACATGGATCTGAACCATGGGACTTGCTACACAGTTACGAGCTGGACCCCTGAAAACGCTGATGTCATCAAAGACCAAACGAGAGACAGAGAGAGATGGAAGAAGAGAGCAGGGACCAACTACGATGGAAGGAGATGAAAGAGGAAAGGTGGCAGAGCGCGTGCCCCAGGTGAGGACAAGCTACTGGGATGGCAGAAGGAGCCGCCACGCTGCCCACAGCAGGGAGCGTGCGGGCCTCGCCCTCCTGTGCAATAGCATATGTGGTTACGCGCAGAGGAGATGGATGCCAAGGCATCGAGGGGTGAAGTGTGACGTCTGTGACAAACTCCCCAACATGCAGGGGGAATACAGACACCCAGAGAGCTGATGTGTCGAAATGTTAACAGTTACTGAACTCACAGTGAGGGCACAAGGGTATTCCTTGTATTGCTCCTTCCTCTAACGTCTGTGATTTTTCAAAACTGGAAGCTGGGGAGAGAACACACTGCGTGCTCCTGTGTGTTCCCGTAGGAACCCGGAGAGACTTGAAGGAGCCGCAGGTGCCAGGAGCGGGGTGCGGTGAGGAGAGTGTTCGCAGTGTATACCTTTTAGCATTTTTTGAGCTTTGAAACATGCAAACGTATTACCTTTAAAGTACAAAAGAAACAAACACACCGTACACTTTCTACTGTCCCTTTTGAAGCAAACAGGTCTAGACCAAGTCTCTCAGCCTGGGCACTGCGACGTCTCTGGCTGGTGATTCTCTGCGGTGGGGTCTGCCTTGAGCGCTGGCGAAGGCTGAGCAGTAACTCTGGCCTCCACCCACCGGATGACAGCAGAAAGCACCCCCTCCCTTATGACGAGGAACAATCTCTCCAGTGTGCCCTGGGGGCACGTCGACCTGCTTAGGAGGCCCCAGGCCAGATGATGGGGACCAGGGACTCCTGGGCAGCGAAGCAGTGTGCTCAGAGGGCACACTGGGGTTCGGGGTACCTGACGCACCGCCCCATCTGTGTGACTGTAGTTATCTAGAGATGTTCATTTACAAAATTTCACACTTCTGCCACAGAGTGAGAAGGTAGAATAACACTTTCAAATCTTGCTCCCAACATAAAACACAGCCTGCCGTGATAGCTGACAAGGTCAGCGGAGCCCGGCAACCAGGCGTCGCTGACAACCTGGCCCCTGAGAGCCTCCCGCGTCCCTGAGAGCACACACAGGCGCGGCTGAGACCCCGAGCGGGCCGCCACGCATCTGCTCACCCTGTCCCCCGACACCAGGCAGTTCCCGTTGGGGCTCCAGGCGAGGATGGCAATGTCAGCCGTGTGCGTGGCGGGGACTGCGTGCTGCTCCTTGTCCTGCTTGTTAAACATGACCACTTCTCCAGACTCCCAGCCAATAGCCAGGATCAGCCGCGTCGGGTGCCAGCACAGGGAGGTGACCCGGAACGACCTCTCGACATGCGTGTCTGGCACGCGCTCGCCCTGCGACACATAAGGTAAAGCCCTTGTTATGGGGAATGGCGGTGACTACGTATTTCTGCCTCATCAGTGGAATGACATCAGGGAAAGGGTACAACAAGCTGCTTTTTAAGGAACAGTCTATTTAGTTATCATAGAAACACCATTTTGCCTCAGCTGAACTATGACAGCACAAGGGAAACATTTAACCAACCCTACAAACCAGCTTATCAATAAAACTTTATTTACAAAAGCAAGTGGTGGGCCAGTGGGTGAGGTGTGCTGACCCAAGGTTCGCAAAGTGTGGCTAGGCGACCCTGAGAACCTCTTTGAGGTCAGAGGCATTTTCAGAAGGACACTAGGGTGTGGTCTGCCCTGTTAACTCGCATTCTCTCACAAGTGAACGGTGGAGTTCCCTGGAAGCTTTGTGATAGATGATGATGTCATTGCTGTGAGAATTAATAAGATGTGTGCTTTTACATTCTTGTGTTTTCTAGAGTTTTCAAAGGCAGCAGGTTAAAAGTATAAATGCGTGTTTCAGAGATTAACTCAGTTTGTTCTACTGGGCTCTTCCTACCAATCTCTAGTTATACCTGCTACATCTGTGACCTTATCATTGAATAAATCATAATTTTGAAATCCTACAGTTTTCCTTGTGCCAATTAGAAACACACGAAGCACACTTCTTTGTTTTGTAATAGTGTATTTTAAATTTTCAAGTTCTATCTGGGGAATTCCTTGGCGGTCCAGTGGCTGGACTGCAGGCCTGTGAGTCATCCCCTGAAAGATGGTACCATAGCCTCAGGAGGAGGAGGAGATGGAGGGAGAGGAGGCCAGTTGGGGAAGAGGGAGGCTGGGTGCAGCAGCCTGGGTGAGGAAGCCCCTGAAAGATGGTAACGTAGCCTCAGGAGGAGGAGGAGATGGAGGGAGAGGAGTCCGGTCGGGGAAGGGGGAGGCTGGACGCAGAGGGCTGGGTGAGGAAGCCCCTGAAAGATGGTAACGTAGCCTCAGGAGGAAGAGGAGATGGAGGGAGAGGAGGCCGGTCGGGGAAGGGGGAGGCTGGGCGCAGCAGGCTGGGTGAGGAAGCCCCTAGGGTGTGCTGTCTGGAGGGTGCCACAGGAGGGTGCCACGTGTGCGGAGGGGATAGCGGGTGCGGACCCAAAGCACGAGAGGCAGATTTCGGGGGAGGGTGGGGCAAGGGGCGGGAAAGGAAATCCATTTCCCTTGGTGAAGTAAGAGTTTCTAGAAAGCTCCAGTTATGGAGTTGTGTGGCCCCAAAAGATATGCTGATTCCTAAACCCCTGGTTCTTGTGACATGACCTCATATGAAACCAGGGTCTTTGCAGATGACCAAGCTCAGATGAGGTCATCAGAGTGGACCCTGGTCCAGTATGACTGGTATCCTTATATGAGGAGGAAAGAGACCCCGCCACAGCCGGGGGACACTGAAGACTGCAGGCTGTACTGAAGCTAATGAGAAGCAGGGCACACACTCTCCATTTGAGCCTTCAGAGAGGGCAGGGCCCTGCCAGCCCCATGCTGGAGATTTCTGGCCCCATAACTTTGAGAGAATAAACTTCTGTTATTTTAAGCCACCCAATTCGTGGTTATTTGTTATGGCCGCTCCAGGAAATGAGCAGTTTCAAAGGCTGATGTGACCCAACAAGGCTGGCGCAGTGGGGACAGACGGCCCTGGTGGTGACCGTGAACTGACGGTGGATTCTGTCTCAAGCATCCCTAACTGTGTACCCAAAACTAAATAATAAGGGTAAAAGAATTATTTACATAACAAGGCTTTTACAGTGTTGGGAATTTGGGCCTCCGTGAGAAGCACACACACATGAGAACAAAAGAACAAGACAAGTGCCAGACTGTCTGACTGCAGCCAGCATGCTGCTTTCTGCACTCACTTGCTCCAGATACACATCCACGCTGCCTCCTGAGGTTGTGCTAACAGAAGCAACTGCCAACAATGGGTGGATGGGGTGCCAACCAATGTGGGAGGGAGACCCAACTGTGTCTGGGGCTTCTATGCGGTGGTCAAAGTAGAGGGCCATGACGGAACGCAGGCCTGCTCAGCACCAAAACCTGCTGGGGAAAAAACAAGTCCTGTTGGTTTTGAATAAAACTCCTACATATGGAATTAGGAAAGAGAGGTAACACAAACCCAGGATCATAAGACATCAGGTAACTTATCAACACCCCTTCAGACAGATGCACACAATTTATGTGGAAAAGATCTCTAATGGGGGAAACACACAATTAGAAGCAAGGGATTAGGCTGGGGTGTGACGGAAAAGAATAACACACATTGCCATCAAAACAGTAAAGAAAAGAAGCCTGCAGACTAGATCACATGTGTCATCCTTGATCATTTTTATTCTATCATAACAAGGACAATTTATATTTTTACAGTTCCCCTTTAAGCAATATTTTCAAACAAGAAACCAAAAAAAGCAGACTGCTGCACAAAAGAGAAATGTGCAGAAAAACCTAACACCCAGTTTCTGACAGAAAACCAAGGTGGTCCCTGATGTCCTCTTAAGGTGGCAGGAGCCAAAGGATTCATCTGTCAGGGAGTGGAGGAAGCAAGGCCACAGGGCAACTGGGGAAAAGATAAGCTTGATCAGCTACCTAACATCTCTTTCTCTTTCCTTCCTTAAGAGATGTGCACGTTGTTCCTGTGTGGGAGGGGCAAGAGGGTGAATTGAATGACTGTCTGACTGCCACCCATTTGTTCACATCCCAGAGTCAGTCTGGGGAAGCGAACTAGCCCAGAAAAGTCTCTTTGAGGTGGCTGCTATCATTTGAAATTATTCAACTTCATCCCCGTCAGGATGGCTGTTATCAAAAAAACAGGAAGTAAAAAGTGTTGATGAGGCAACTGGAAGCCTTGTGCACTGCTGGTGGGAGTATAAAATGGTGCAGATGCTGTGGAAAGCAGTCTGGGGGGTCCCTCAGCATCACACACAGGATCATCACATTATCCAGCAATTCAGTTCTGGACACATACCCACAAGAATTGAAAGCAGGGATATGAACAGATCCTTGAACACAGTATTCATAGCAGCATTATTCATAGTGAAAAGGTGGAAACAACACAAATGCCTATCCACAAATGAATGGATAAACAAGATGTGGTATATCCATACAATGGAGTATTATGCAGCCTTACAATGGGATGAAGTTCTGGCACATGTTACAGCATGGATGAACCTAGAAGTGAAATAAATCAGACTCGAAAGAACAAATACTGCATGATTCACTTATATGAGGTACTTAAGAGTCAACAAATTCAATGTCTCTGCCTTCCAATGCAGGCAGTGTGGGAACTAAGATCACACATGCTTCAAGACCAAGAAACCAAAATGTAAAAACGGAAGCAATTCTGTAACAAATTCAATAAAGACTTTAAAAATGGTCCACATCAAAAAAATCCTTAAAAAAGAAAAAAGAAAGTAGACTGGTGGTTGCCAGGGCCTGCTATAGGCGGTGATGGGCAATTAGCATTTATTATATTTAAGGTTTCAGTTTGGAAAGATTGGTGGCGATGATCACACAACAGTGTGAAGGTACTGTTGTCATCAAACTATATACTTATAAATGGTTAAAATAGTAAATCTTAAGTATATTTAACCACAACATAAAAACTGCAAAAAAGTTATCCAGCACCTACAAAATTCCATCACTGGAGAAGGGAATAGGCTACACCATTTGCTTTGAGCAATACAACAGTTGCATCAGAGAAAGCCATGCAGGCTCATTTTGGGTTCAGAGAGGGAGACCCTGTTCTTCCAGAAGCTGAAAGGCAGGAGGGTACAAATGAACAGTCACATTTCAAATGTTTACCTTTCTTTTATGAAAATATACCCTGACCACTAAACTCACAACCACAAGCTGGTAGTGAGTTTAATGGGTGCTGGAGAGCACCCATTCAGGCTCCTGATAGATGGCTGGGCACTGGCCAGAGGAGTGGGGGGAATGGGAGACTGGGGTCTGTGGGGGTACGATCCGTGGCCAGCTGCACACACTCCACTTAGGGGACACGTGCACTGGTCCAGGGCTCTGGATTTCTTGAGTAAAGACTTCATGCAATTGTTCACACAGAGCCACGATGAGACACACTGGGTTAACTGGGCAGCTTGATGCAGCAAGGAAGCCTTTCACAGTGAGTTCCAATGTGTTGCAGCCCACCAAGGGTCTAAATTCTTGGCTACAGGAAATTCTTACTCATGTTTAACAAGTTTACTCTCCAAAAATATGCCTTGGAAAAATGAGTAACATATCAATCTTCTTGTAATGACGGAAAAGGAATTATAAAAGCACTTGGAAACCTGATTTCCTCTATCTTTTATTTCAAACATCACTTTGTAAGGAGCAAGTATGCTAGAAGATCTTTAAGTTACTTCCTTCCCGCTGGGGCTCTCTCCCTCACAACCCCACACTGGGTACTCAAGACGCCTCTTTCCACCAGGTTGTCCTGTGCTTCTGCCCAGTGTAATCAGAGAACCCTGTATTCTCCATTTAGACTGTCTGTGTCGGACTGACCACTCTCCACTCCTTACCTGATAAGCTGCCCCACAAAGTGAGGGGCCACCGGAGCACATCTGGCCCCAGAACACTGCCTCCACCAAACAAACCCCAGTACATGAATCCCTGATGGAGATACTTACTAGCGAGGAAAGAGGCTTTTGATGTCTTGTTAGTTGCAGAAATTGGGGCCAGGCCAGGGTGAATGAATCCAGTTTTATATGATGAATAAATGCTACCTGGAAGAAGGCAATGGCAACCCACTCCAGTACTCTTGCCTGGCAAATCCCATGGACGGAGGAGCCTGGTAAGTTGCAGTCCATGGGGTTGCTAAGAGTCGGATACGACTGAGCGACTTCACCCTCACTTTTCACTTTCATGCATTGGAGAAGGAAATGGCAGCCCACTCCAGTGTTCTTCCCTGGAGAATCCCAGGGATGGGGGAGCCTGGTGGGCTGCCGTCTAATGGGGTCGCACACGACTGAAGTGACTTAGCAGCAGCAGCAGCAGCAAATGCTACCTGTGTACCAAGACTTCCCTGGTGGCTCAGTTGGTAAAGAATCTGCCTGCAATGCACGAGACTCGGGTTGAATCCCTGGATCTAGAAGATCCCCTAGAGAAGGGTATGGCAAGTCACTCCAGTACTCTTGCTTGGAAAATCCCATGGACAGAGGAGACTGGCGGGCTACAGTCCATGGGGTCACAAAGAGTTAGACATGACTGAAGCAACTAAGCACGCATATACACGTGTGCACTTACAAACAAAAGTTAGCAAAGTAAACGTAAGAAGGAGAGATGACTAACAATGAAATCGCATCCATTAATGGCATCGGTTCAGAAACAACGGCATTTCCTCTCATTACAAGAAAAGCAGGATACCTCTTGAACATAGCGCCATTTGACAATACATAAACTTTAGAAGAAAGAAAAAAAAATTCCACTTGTTCTCACCAATTTGCTCTTCTCACCTCCAGCCGTGCAACTTCACTCTTCAGGTAAGCCACCTTTGGGGGAAGAACGGCTCGTGGTACTAAGGATGACTTCAGTTGCATCACTGCTTGGAGACGCTGTGGGAGGGAATCAGAAGGACTTTGAGGCAAGGGGGGCTGAGTGGAGGGGCGCAATGGAGGGCACTGGAAGCCACCCCCAAAAGCCTCACTCTGAACCACTGCTCCCGGGGCCTCGTCAATGCAGCCTCATAGCTGCATCCCGTGGACATGAAGAAACACCATTTCTGGCTCGGACCTTGCGGTCCCCGGGGCCGCAGGACTGACAGCTCCGAAGGTGGTTTTCGGAATCCCTCCCAGACCCGTGCCGCCGCCAGCGCTTCCGGCGCCTCCCCCTCCCCTCCAACTCAGCTCTCCGGGCCTTGCGCCGCCACGCGGCCCTCAGTCGGACCTCGCCTCGCGCTGAGCCCTCGGACACCCGCCCCACACCCCCAAGCCTTGGCCTGATCGGCCACCGCTCGGGCGATCGGCCCAGGCAGGATTTCTGGGCGAAGATAATCCAGGAGGCGGAGAAGAGGGTCCGGCGCGCCTCGGCGTCGCCCTTCTCCCGGGCCCAGGCTCCGGGCTCCCGGACCCGCCAGACTCTTCGAGCCGTCCCGGCCCCCGGCCTCCCTAGCCCCCTCCCGGCCCTGCCTCGTCGTCGCCCTGCTCTGAGGCTCCGGGCCCCCAGACCCCCTATTCCCGGGTCCCGGGCCGGGGGCCGCACTAGCCTTGGCTGGGCCGCTGCGCCGCCGCGCGTTGCCGGGACAACGGCCGCGAGCCCAGCTCGGATACAGCCGAAACCGAGCGGGCGGACGCCGAGACCAGCCGAAGCGCCCCGAGAGGCCGGAAAGAGCCGAAGACGCTCGGAAACGTTCGTACGCAGCCGAGGGCAGGATTCCTGCCGCGGGTGGCGAGCTCCGGGGCTCTGCAGGACAATTTCCCTCTTTCTCGATGGTTGTCTAGAATGCACAACGCTAGCTTGCAGAGGGAGCCAAAGGGACAGAATATGCCTTTCTGCCCAGAGAAGGGAAGCTGGTGTATTCTTCTGTATGTGATGGGGATACACGGTCGGTTCGCGACCCGCTTCTGTAGTTCAGTTACCAACCACATAGGTCAGTCAGGAGGAAGGCAGCAGGGAGACTGGGAAAGAAAGAGAACGCCATCTTTAAGATTCTCTCCTCTCTGGTTAATCTTATTGCTGGGTCTCTTGGACCCCAAAAGGTTTGCTAGATTCTGATTTGTCTCCAAGAGGGTGTCGTTCAAGAGTATTTCTGAGAAAAGTCAGTTGATTAAACATAGTTCCTTGAAGTTATGCGTTCAGTGCTTTGAGGGGGGAGGCTTATGGACGCCATTGGAGAGAATAGCGTAGAGTAGAAAGTACGAGTTCATTTAGTTAGAAACTAACCTTTTTCCTAACCTTGGCTGCTGACTGCATTCCCTAAGGCATTAGCGACGTGCTGTCCTGCTCTAACGGTCTGGTGGGTTAAACTAATTTTGAAAGAAAAAAAAAAGCAATGTTACTAAGAAAACTTGCTGTAGCAAACAGCAGCCAAGGTCTTTCATTTGTTAAGCATACAAGGAAGATTCTATTAAAAAAAACCATTTTCTTAAACACTAGGATTTTATTGGATAAATTTAATATGTAACATTGCGTAAATTTAAGGTGTACAAAATGTTACTTTGACCCATTTATATATTATGTGATTAGATTGTAGACATATTTCTCAGTCATAATATTATTGTCTGTATCCATTATATTGTGCAAGCTTTCCAAGTTAGGGTTAGGGTGGTAAAGAATCCGCCTGCCAATGCAGGAGACGGGGGGTCGAGTCCTGGGTTGGGAAGATCCCCTGGAGGAGGAAATGGTAACCCACTCCGGTATTCTTGCCTGGGAAATCCCATGGACAGAGGAGCCTCGCGGGCTACACTCCACCGGGTCGCAGAGAGTTGGACCCGACTGAGCACGCAGGCATTACATTGTGCATTACATACTTCTCCTTAACAAATTTGTACCCTTAAGCACCATCACTCTTATCCCTCCTCCATAAACTCTAGGATTTGAAAAACACTCCTTCATCGCCAAAACAAAGAAAAACCTAAGCATCCAGCACCATCCGCAGCGCTAAAAAACTTGAAAGCCTTCACGCTCAATCCAGTAAAGGGTGTGTTTTTCTGCTTCAGTCGCACTTCCACACTTTTTCGGTAAAAACCCAGTTCGCGCCGGATTCAAGACTCAGGGCTGAGGCGGCGTTTTCTTCTCACGCATCCGTCAACAGGGCTGGGGCCAATCACAGGCTAGGCTCTCATTCTATTGGCTGGCGATCCACCAATCCGGAGAGACGTACCAGTCCGCACGGCCGCGAGGCTAGCGTCACAACACTACCCGCGTCGCAGATCCGCCCTCCGCCCCCACCCAGCGTCCCTGCGTGTAAGCGCGCGCGCCCGCCGCTGACCAATGGGAAGGCCCCTGGAGGGGGAGCGCCCGCTGGAAACCTTGGCGTGCTCGGCCCCGCGCGCGTCGCCCCGCCCCGGCTCGTACTCCCGCCGCCCCGGCCCCGCCCCGCGCGTCGGCCCCGCGGACTCCGCCGGCCGCCGTAGCCGGAACTGCTCCTGTTCGCCGCGGGCCGGGCCTCAGGGAGGCTGAGGGGCGACAGCACCGGCGCCCGCAGGTTTCTCAGCCACACGCCGACCGCCGAGGGGACGTGCCGGGGCGAGTGCCGCTCGGCGACTGCTTCTGAGGCGGGAGGACCACACCGGCGTTGCGGTCTCTCAGCAGCCGGCGCTCGGGGGCCGGGCTGTCCGACTTGGCCGGTTCTGCGGGCGCCCGGGAGGACCCCGGCGGGCCCGGGAAGCCAGGCTGCTGCGAGGCGTTGATGAAAAAGGTGACCGGAGGCTGGAGCTTGGGAGGGGTGGGCCGCCCCGACTCGCTGTCGCGGCGAGGCCGGCTCCCAGCCCGAGCGGGGCTGCGGGAGAAGAGGCCTGCGCCCTGGCGGCGGTGGTTACGCACGGGGTGTTTCGTCGGGGCGGCTCGGGGGAGCCCGGACCCAGGAGTGTTGCGTTGACGGAGCTCTTTGTGTACAGATAGAAGTCAGCCGGGGAGATGGGGTTTTGCTTTTCCTTTCCCAGAAGGTGACAAATGGTGTCCTGCCGGGATGGGGCTTGAGGCGATCCCTCCTCTGTGCGCGGCCAGGAAGTAAGGTTGGAGGGACTTGGTGAGAGAATTCCATCTCCCTGGTTTCCTTTTTCCTCAAGGGAAAACTCTGAAATATGTCTATACCTTGTGAATTCTGAAAAGCCACGTTCTTCTGTATTCAGGTAGTGCTCCCAAGATTTAGCTTGGCCAACGGGCAAGTTTATTCTGTTGTAGCTGATAGAACCACTGCCTGGGTCCTGGGTTGACTGTGAGTAGCTTTGGGGTGATGGCTTGTTTCCTGGAAGGTAGGGTTCGCCACATTATAACCCAGAGAAAGGTCCTTTGGTGTTTTCAGGTTTCTTAAGTAGAAATGGATAGGATAAAGGGTGACTAGTGAGATGTCCTGTACCATGAAGTCCTTTTAAGTCTGGGCATCTGTCTTAAATAGTTCTATTCTTTGACAGGTTTTTTTATTTTCAACTGGCGTGGATTCAGATGGTTTATGACACCAATTTCAACACATGAAAGCTATTGTAGCAGGTAGTTTTGAGGCATAATACTTTGAGCAGTAGTAGGTATCACTATGATTTTAGTCATTTCCAAGTCTTTCTAGGAGAGGTCCTTAACAGTCCTGTTACTGTAGTTCATTGTTGGCCTTGATGTCTTGCTCTCATTTTCCTTTTCTCAGCAGTCGTGTTGAGCATATCAAACACAGTTTGGGCACAGTATCAACACCTGTTGAGGAATCTGGTTTTTAAAAGGTTTCTTGCCCCACTGCATGTGCACATTACTATTTCTGGACTTACAATATTATTAGTACCTGAATCTCTGAATAAATTGAGTGGATCTGCTTTTTGGGCGACAGACATTTTCAAAGTCATCATATTTTGTCGATGACATTGCTCACAACAGAGAGTCACAAAGTTAGTGCAGGATTTTTATTCCTGGTTACCTAGAATTTTAACAGAATTCTCTTCTGTCCATTCTTACCTGGACGTTACTGCGCTGTCACTTTCACGGGTGACTCCAGTCTGTTCCACACAACAGGCTCCTTTGTTGCAAAAGCATTTTTAATTTGTAAATCCCCACAGCAGCACACATCTCCCACCATCGGAAGCAGGACTCCCAGAAACCCCGAGCTTATTATTCTTTATGTCTGTTTTAAAATAAGCAGGCGGACCGGCAGCCTCGGGCCACCATGGAGTTCCCTGTGCACGCAGGCGAGCCCGCGCCTCTGCCCGGCCCGGATCGATCCGGGCCCCTCGCCCTCGCTCCGGGGCCAACTTTGGGGGCCGGAGTGCGGGGCAGGTGCGCGGGCCCGGAGCCTCGCGCGTTTTAGGCAAGACCCCCCGGGACGGCGGCGACGGTCCCCAGGCCCCCTCGGGCGGCCCGCAGGCCCCGTCCCCGCCGCCCGCCTGCCCCCAGGATCAGCACCACTTCCTCAGGTCCAGCGTGAGGCCGCAGAGCAAGAGGCTGAGGAAGGACTCGTCCTGCGCCGGGGGGAGCAGCAGTGCGGGCAGCTCCGGGCCCCGCGGGAAAGGTACGGAGACCCCGGCCCCGCAGGGTGTGCCCTGCTCCCGGGGTGGGGGGCCCTTCCCTCACGCCCCCCTGCCTCCACCCAGCCGGGGCTCCCTCGTGTGTCTGCACCCACACTCAGAGCGGCACTTTGGAGGGGACAAGCTCTCTTCCTGCTCCAAAGAGACTGTTTCTGTGTTTCGACTGTGTTAAGGGGCAGTAAGTATTCTTTCTTTGGACAAACCTAGATTTCTGATGGTTGGATTTTTTTCCATCTCAAAGACTCTTGGGTGATTTAGATGGTAAGGCTATTTTAAAGAGCAAAGGATAGTTTAGAAAGAGATTGAGAAATTACGTGCTGTATCTTTTCCCCAGCCTCAGATGGTGAAAATACAACAAAGGAATGGGCTTTTGAAACTCACGTGGGGAAAGGTTGATGAAAAGTCGAAAATGAATGATTCCAAGGGTCCAGCTTGGGCCCATCACCCTCTCCATCAAGTATGCTAGGCTTAAGAGTGTTAAGGGCCTCAAGACATGGCCCTTTGAGTTTCTACGAAGGTTTCCTTGGGTGCCATGAAAACATCTCCCCTAGCATAGTAAGTGGTGAAAACATTTATGACCTGACATAAACGAGCAGCAGTCCACAGGATTTGTCCTGGCATTCTCAAGTTGAGGACGTCTCAGCT